TGCAGACATCTCAATGCTGAAATGAAGCAAGACATGGAGGAGAGTTGGTGAAGAGATGCCAGAAGAGATGCCGGAAGAGATGCCGGAAGAGAAAATGTGAACTGGACACTTTATTATGGCCAAACTGGATAGTAGAAAAGAGTAGGCAGATGGTTTTTGAAAACCTGGCAAAGGGCCTAGAAGATATACATGGGAATGTGAAAAAAAGGAAATAAAATGAAAATGTTTAACTAACAAACATACTCTAGACACAGAAGACAAAGTAGAGAAACAATGCCTAAAACTGCTGTGAAGGGAACAAAATAACTGCCTTTTAAATTTGCCCTACATTTCAACATCTACATTGAGACCACTTTCCTTAGGTAAAGGAAAGTTCGGCTTCACAGACTGACAATGAGCCAGAGAAAACTGAGACAAAACGCAATCAAGGCTGAGTTATTTCCTAGCAAAACTCTGGGCTTCAAGATTAAAGAAAACAGTTCTCGGGGCTGTGAGGCAAAAGACCAAGCGGTTCGCAGAGTGGAAACGAGCGAGCCAGCCAGAGATTTGACTTCGACACCCAGAACTGAGACCCAGTCAGCACTGCAAAACTTTCAAAGGGACACAGAAGCAAGTCTCAAAATTTTCTCAGGTCTCCTGCTGTCAACTGAAAAGGCGACAAAGAATTTTAAACACACAAGAATAAAATTAGTAAAAATAAATAGATAAACATTTTAGAAATAGAATAAAATTAATGTTTGAGGACTGAACATGGAAACAGCCAGAATTTGAAACTGAAAACACAGGAAGAAAAGGAGGGGGGGATTAGGGAAAGGAAGGAAGAGGAAGGAAGCAGGGAGGAAGGAGAGGGCAAGAGGGAAGGAAACTGTCGAAACATGTACAAGATATAGTATGAGAGAGACTATAAAACTCCAATTGTTTTGTTTTTGTTTTGTTTTGAGACAGCCTCGCTAAACAGGCCCAGCTGTCCTTCAAACTCTCCACCCTCCTGCCTCTGCTTTTGTGCTACTGGGATTATCAGCAGTTGCTGCTATGCCCAGCAATGAAACTCTGATAAAAGAAAAAAAAATCATCTAAGGACTTTGTAAAAATCTGCCATTTCTTTTCATCCCTAGGCTTTAAGGCAAATCACTACTTGAATGCCAGTTTGACATCCTTAAGATAGAACAGGATTAATGATCTTGTGATCACATAGGCCACCATCATAACTAATCCCTAAACAGCATCAGCAATACAAACGCATTCACCCTTGAGTGATGTTGGCAGAAAATAAAGGTGGCCTACTGTAATATACTACAACTATCAGGATTATTGTAAGGCCAGTAAAGAGTTGAACTGCCTTCAGCATTCTGTTGGAGGCAAAGAAGTTAATATACAAGTGATTTTTGAAGTTGCTTTTCTTATACAAAACAATAGAAATCTAGATGTCAACTCTGCATGCTGAAATGGCCTCTGAAATAAAATGGGAGAGATCATGTACTTTGACAGTAACAATACAAAATGGCAGTGAACTCTGACACGGCATAAAAATGCTCACAAAACATCACCATTCCAGAGAGAAAACCATTATAAACACACAGAAAAGGAGCTCACAGCCCCATCTCTAACTCAGGAGTTAGGTGAAGCTAACCAGAGGCTACAAACTTACATTTTGGCTTAGTTTTGGAATGCAATTGTTACTCATGTAAATAAAAATAAATAGTAATTTTAAAGCCATTTAATTATGTATTAAGGTAGGAGAGTATATGGGCAGGTATGGTGGCATATGTCTATAATCCAAGCTCTTGGGAGGTAGAAACAAAACCAAGAGTTAAGATCAGACTGACTACATGAGATTGTCTCAAAAACAAAACTAAAATTAGGAATAAAGGAGTGTTCAATGTCAAGAACACCAACTAAGTCCCAAGTCTTTGGTGGCTTAAGGCCTGTTTATCCATGTCCTCATTGTATCCATGTCCTGTATCCAAGTCCCCTTGGTTCCTTCCCTCAGCTGGGCCCACCTGTGTGTACCTAATTACCTGTCATTTTGCCAGTTTAATCCACACAGAACTCTAAGCAGGCCACACTAAGTTGCTGTATCATATTGACTGATACCAATGAGCACACCTAACATTCCACCCTACTATCTTGGGCATTTTGTTTTTGAAACTGGGACCTCACTATGTACTCCTTGAACTTAGAAATTTACCTGTCTCTGTCTCCCAAGTGAGGAGATTAAAGGCCTTGCCACTATGTCCAGCCTCTTTGGGCACTTTAGAGGGGAGGATAAAATCAGGTAAGATGAAGAGTATCTGATTGAAAGCCACACACAAGCATGTAGATACTGCACCTTGAAAACTCCTAGTAGCCTGCTTCCTATTGGTTCAAACACCCCTTTAGCATACAATGATCTTCTTACTGTCCTCTAAGCATTTGTTGTATGACGTGGAGGAACAAGGCTGGCTAGCATGGGTGAGAAACCCAATTATAAACCTTGCAACAAATAGCTAATATTTAATATTGCTATATTCCAGAAACTTGGCGCACACTACCCTGCAACCACCCTGTACCGCAGGATCGCATTTCCTGCATTTACGTGTGAGAAAATGGAGTCCTAGAGGAGGTGAAATGACTTGCCCAGTGTTATCCAATTAGGAGCTGGCAGAGGAGGGGAAACCAAGATTCATGCTAACTCATTTCTGTCCCAATCAGAAGATCACATTCTAGATTTTTCTCCAAGATAAGCTGGTGAGATCAAGCAAACAACTGATATAGGTGCCATCAACTCAGCCTTGAGACCCTCACTGTGTGCTGCCTGACTCTGTGCTAATCCCTCTGTCCTTAAACATGATGCTTACTGCCCTCTATCTCCAGTAGAACCCAATTCAGGGACATTCTGCTTCTTGGAATCATGGAACAGTCAAGGGCACATAGACAGACCTCTCCAGTGCCCAAAACCAATCTTCAACCCATCCCCACCTGGAAGTCAGAGTGCAACTTCCAGAAGCACTCATTCTCATGCCAGGGAAGGAGGAAACTCTGGGACTCCTGGTTCCTACCTCGGCCTTTGAAATCCTCCAGGAACTGGACTGGCCACCAAGGATTGTCTTGCCCCAGGCTGCTATTCCTTGGGAAAATTTTCAACCTTGCAGGCAGAAACACCGGAAATCCAGCAGGAAGGTAATATCCAGACTGAAGGCCAGCATGCCCTGAATGGCTCAGCACACAGGCCAGACTTTTACATTCCCCCGTCTCCCCCCCCCCCCAGCACTAATATCAAAGGGTCTCACAAGAGGATTCCAGTAGCACCACCGGCTTGCCATGGGCTTAAATGTCCATCTTAAAGGGCATGACTTACGTGGAGAATGGTGTCACAAAAATTATGATCCCATCTCTGAGGCAGAAACAGGAGGCCATTAACCACTTTAAATTCACCTTTAAAAAGAAAGAAAAAGAAAGGATTCAAACAGGATGGAATTTTATATAGCCCCTAAGAATATAAGGGAGTCAGAAACAGCTGACCTGGGCAAGTGCAAGCTCACAGACCCCAGTCTAACAGCTGGGGAACCAACATAGGACAGAATCAGAACCCCTGAATGTGGGTGTGAGCTGAGGGGCCAGGGCTGTCTGTGGGGCCTCTAGCAGTGAACCCCGTATTTATCCCTGGTGCACAAATGGGCTTTAGGAGCCCATTCCCTATAAAGGGTTACTCTCTCAGCCTAGATACACGAGGAGGGCCTAGGTTATGCCCAAAATGATGTGACAGACTTTGATGATCCCCCACCAGAGATCTCACTCTCCCTGGGGAGTAGATAGAGGGTAGGATGGGGGGAGGTTGGTAGAGGGATTGAGACAATGGGAGGGAGAGGGAACTGGGATCCGTATGTAAAATAAGATTGTTTTTAATTTAAATAAAAATGTAAGGGAGTATAAATAATATGTGCATGATTTGATTTTAAATGAAAAAGATACTCTATTATAATAATTACCTCCAGGGTGACAACTCACATGACTAAAAAACAGGCATGAGAGGAACTATTTTGTTGTCGTCGATTGGCATTTTTAAAAAAATCGGTGCTTTGGCATTTAAAAAAAAATCAGTGTTTTGGCATCTAAAAAAAAAATCGGTGTTTTCCATTTCATTTCACTCTGTTATCATTCCGCCATCTTGATACACCAAACAGGCCTTGAAGCTGTAGCTTAGACCAATGCGCCACAGCCAGATCAACTTCCACGAGACTTGAAATGCCGGAACTAGTTCAGCTAGATCCTGGATCTGAGAAAAGTTAACGCTGGCATGATTTTTCAATACCTAAACAAACGGGACTGAAAACAGATATACAATACACCTCAGAATTGTGATTTAGATCATATTAAGTAACCTCGTGTTTCAGCTGACAGCATAATATTTGCAAGATTTGCTCACATAATAAAGATAGCAACTTTAATCACAGGACATGCTAACTTTACATTCTCTTCCACCATCCCTGGAGGACGATTGAGTGGTCATTTAAAAATCAGACAGAGTTTCAAGGAAACACACAATCCCACCGACATTACAGGTGGAACACGCTGTGTTGAGATCAACGCTGAAATCCAGGACTTCATGTCCTCATAACATTTCACTCGCGAGACTTCAGCAGGAATGGTTTACTGGTATAATCTGACCAAAGCATACAATGCCCACAATCCAAAGCGAAGTGAAGGGCCTACAAACCAAATGGCTGCTCCCACAGTGCAACTACCGCTTTTCCACACGGACCTACAAACTACAGACAAGGCTATTGGTCAGATCGACACTCCTAGGCGGGGCCTGGAAGGGGCGGAGCCTAGTATGACATTTCCCGATTCGACTTGCTTTCCCGCCCATCCCATGAAATATAATTGACATCCAGGGTGTATTCAGCCAGACTTAAGGAAAGCGCGAGACTCCAGAGTCCCGGACTGCAGTCGCTCCGCCTGCTCCAACGCATCTGTTCGCTCACCATCCCGCACCTCGCCAATCCCGCAGCTTCCTCAACATGCTGCACATGCGACCTCGCAGCCCCAGCGCCGACCCCGCGCCCTGCTGGGCACCACAGCCTCAAGGACCCAGCCCTGCTAAGCGCCGCCGCCTCCACGAGCCCGCCCGCCATGAGCCCCCGGCGTCTCCCGACCTGGAAGCGCCCACCCAGGCCACCAGCGAAGAGCTCACCTCGGTGTTGGTCCTGGCCCATGGCTGTGCCATGCAACTGCAGCTGGACGGAGTCGACCTACTGCTGGAGCCCGAGCCCACCTCGGTAATGCAAGTGGAGCTCCCTGGACACACCTTAATCCTGGTGCCCGAGGGCCTCCAGTCTTTCGCCCATCTTGGACAGCCTGGGTTCTTGTCCACCAGCCCACAGGAAGGCGCTCTCCTGCACTTGCCCCAGGACCACCTCGTCGTCCTCCAGCAGGGATCCCTCTGTGAAGACATCCTAGACAACTCCTATCAAGAGGTCGCCTGCGATGAGGAGGACGACTCTGGCTTCCTGTCACCCTGGATTGACGCTCCAGCTGGCCAGGCCTCTGAGCTCCTTTCCTGCCACATCAGGATGCCCACTCCTTGGCCTCAGGACTACATCCTCGAACCACAGCTTCAGGTACCCTCCCCTACTGCAGAGCCATGGTCTCCGAGGTCCTTCTGGGACTTGGACAGCTACCTGCAGGGACCTTTCCCCACCTCGCCACTGCAGCCTCTGCCCCCATCTCCTCCAAGTCCCCAGGAGCAGCGCCCTCCACGCCCTCCATGCTCTCCAAGCTCTCCACACGCCCCATGCAAGGCCCGGAGGCGACTGTTCTATGAATGAACTACCTGCACAAATCCTGATGCCGCTCAAGGAAAAGGCTCCCCAAAGCCACTATGTGTGTCTTTGCGCAGCCTACAAGGTTAGAAAGGCACTCTCGTTCTTGAAATGGGCAGAATGTAGAATATTGGATCGGTGATTGACTAGAAAGCCTGAAAGATCATTGCCACCAGATCACGTGCTGTTTGAAAATCGCCCACTTAAGGTCTTTGAATTGACTTCTTCTGCCCTTTTCTATACAGAAGTCACCCTTGGGTACTTTCATCCTGGAAATCCTGGTTTTGTAGCAAATCCCAGTTTTATTCCAGCACTACTGTTTTTTTTGTTTGTTTGTTTGTTTTTTGTTTTTTTGAGACAGGGTTTCTCTGTGGCTTTGGAAGCTGTCCTGGAACTCACTTGGTAGTCCAGGCTGGTATCGAACTCACAGAGATCCGCCTGCCTCTCCCTCCGAGTGCTGAGATTAAAGGCGTGCACCACCAATGCCCTGCCCAGCACTACTCCTTAAAGGAACAGGCTACCATTCACCCTTACCCCCAGCTTAATTACTTGAATTAGCTAGTAATTGGGAGTGAAATTCTTTTCTCTTATGAGCTTTAGCACTAATCTCTCCTACTCTGTGCCCCCTTTTTTGTTTGTTTGTTTGTTTTTAAACCATAGACCGTTTCGTTATGCAGTCTATTCTTTGTTTGGGAGGATAGCAAATGGTTGCACCTCACCGATGCTGTTCCTATTGAAACAAACTTAGCAAGGAAAGCAATGATCACGTTCTTTTTTGAATAATTAAGTCGTTTACATGGGTGGAGTTTTTGTTTGTGTGTGGGTTGTTTGGGGCTTGTTTTGATTTAACTTTGGGAGGTGTTGGCTTTTCTTTTTCTTTCCATGAGAGCCAAATCTGTTGATATCATTTTGTGTATTTTTAATATACTTCTCATGTCCTTGAGGTCATCGAATGTTACAATAATTAAGTTATAAGACTATATTGCTAGAATAATTACAAGATCCCAAATTTAAGTTGTTCTTTATTACTAGTGTATAGATGTAATCATTACAGTTATTTGATATCCAACAAAATTTATTAATTTCTTTGGTAACTTTATGTACTTTCATTTGAATGGTTGATAAAAATAGTGTCTCTAATGAGAAAATTGGGATCTTTCATACATCTAATATATCTCATTTGTCCTTAACCATTTTTATTGGATATTTATGTTCAATTGAAGTATATTTAGTAGGGTTATTCCTATCATATGTCATATGGTACTTAAGTTTTATAGAATATTATCTTTCCTGTAAATAGTTGTTAGATAGTCTTTGTCTTGCTGAAGATGTTGCTTTATAATGTTTCTGATCATTTAAAAGAATGTTGTGTTTTTTTCTTTTGGTTTTGGCTAAGTACAAAGACTTTGTAAAAATGTTGGATTTAATAATTGAATTAAATTATATTTTAAAAACTTGAGTATTAGAGTACTTTCATATATGAACTGTGTTGAATCCTGAGTTTGGCACACACACAGCAACACGGTGAGAGGAAAAATGGGACTAGGGATGGGGCTAAAGGGATTGCAAAACTCAGACTCTCCTTTAGAGACTTGAGAGAGCTGGTTAGAGGAAGAAATGATTGAGAGTTGCCTTAGGTGTCAGTGTTAACATTTTAAGAATTTTTTGCTTTCTGCATGGTATTCCACGCTGTCTTTTTCATCAGTCCATGTGGTGGCTTGGCAGTGACAGAACTCACAACAAAGTGAGGGTCTGTGCATCTCTGCTCTTCCACAGGATTTCCTTGCAATTGGAATTATATTCTGAGATGTTTTTGCTTGGGAGGCTAGAGCGTGGTTGGTTGGTTGGTTGGTTGGTTGGTTGGTTGGTTGGTTGGTTGGTTGGTTGGGTTTGTTAAGACAGAGTTTCTCTACATAGTCCTGGCTGGCTCTGAAATTCACCATTTAGATAGATCAGGCAAGCCTTAAACCCACAGAGATCCGCCTCCCTCTGCCTTCCAAATGCTGGGATTAAAGGCATGTGCCACCAAGTCTGACTTGATTATCTATTTCTGTTCATGTGTTTGCTATTTGGTTTTTATTTACATCACTCCTAACTCTTTCTCTCTCTCTCTCTCTCTCTCTCTCTCTCTCTCTCTCTCTCTCTCTCTCTCTCTCTCTCTCATTCTCACAGACACACACACACACACACACACACACACACACACACACACACACACGGTATGTATATCTGTGTACCACGTGAATGCCTGAAGGCCTGTATAAGCCAGAAGAGAGAATCACATGTTCACATGTGCTGGAATAGGAGCTACAAATAGTTTGAGCTGTGATCTGAGTGCTGGGAATAAAACTAGGGTCCTCTAGAAGAGCAGCCAGTGTTCTTAACCACTGAACTATCTCCAGCACTGATTCATATTTTACAACGAAATAAATCAATACTGAAAAATCAGATGTCAACATACAGCTGTTTTAGGAATAGCAATAATTATATTTTAGATTTTCCAAGTGTGTTGCCAGTTTCTTTACTCTTTTGTTTTGTTTTTGTTTTTTTTAAGAGTCAGGGTTTCTCTGTATTGTTTTCGAGGCTGTCAGTCCAGCCCAGCCTTGAACTCACAGCGATCCGACTGATTCTGCCTCCCGAGTGCTGGGACTAAAGGCGTGTGCCACCACCGCCCGGCTTCTTTCCTCATTTTCTATTCTTGCCTTCTCCTCACTCGATCCTCATGTCTTCTTCTTAGAGTTTTTAAAAAACACATTCATGTGTTTGCTTTTTGTGTGTGTGCCCTGGCACCCATGTAGAGGTCAGATACAATTAGCAGGAGTCAGTTCTCTCCATCTAGCCTGTGGGTTCCAGGACTTGAGCTTGGGTTGCCAGGTTTGACTACAAATAACTTTACCCTCTGAGCCATCCCACTGGGTCCTCATTTGTCTTCTGTCTATGCTACAATTTTTGCTTTTATATACATAGTGTTTCCCTGTGTAGCCCAGGCTTGCCTCAAACTTGAAATTCTTCTGCTGCAGTGTCAAAAGTGCTAGGATGATTGGTGTAGGTCACCACCTCTGAGCACCCTACAAAACAATCTTAGGAATTCTCTCTTCCATGGCCTGTGTGGTGAGTCTTAGTTGATATCTGGAAATGTTTCAATGACACCCACAGATCTGTGCTATTTTACTGGGTTTGGAATTCTAAAGCCAGATCTGTATTCTCTGTTACTTTAAGACACTATTCTTTCCTGCTGTTCACTGATGCAAATAAGTTTCCTGAGTAAATAGGGGGAGGGGGATTAGAAGGGAGGGAATGGGGGAGGGACATGAGGGATGGGAATGGTCATGTGGAGGGAGGGATTGAGAGGGAGAGCAATGAAGGAGATATCTTGGTAGAAGGGGCCATTATGTAGGGTTAGGGAGAAACCTGGTGCCAGGGAAACTCCCAGTACTCTTGACCCCAACTAAGACTCTAAAATAGTGAAGAAGGTGCCTAACTGGCCTTCTGTAATCAGATTGCTGACTACCCTAATTGTCATCATAGAACCTTCATCCAGTAACTGATAGTAGCAGAAGCAGAGATCTACAGCCAAGCACTGGGCCAAGATCCGGGTGTCCAGTCAAGAGAGGGATTATATGAGCAAGGGGGGGGTCAAGATTATGATGGGAAAAACCACAGAGACAGCTGACCGGAGCTCTTGGGAGCTCACAGACTCTAGATAGGACCCACCTAAACCCTCTTCATGTGGGAGATGTCTAGTTTGATCTGTTTATGGGGCCCCTAGCAGTGGAACCAACTGGGGTTTTGAACCCATTCCCTGTGGTAGGATGCCTTGCTCAGCCTCGATGCAGTGGGGAGGGAGGAGCAAGTTCTGAGCCTGCCTCAATTTGATATGCCAGACTTTGTTAACTCCCCATAGGAGACCTTACCCTTTCTGAGAAGTGTATGTGGAGGCAGAGAAGAGGTGTGGGAGGGAACTGGAGAATAGGAGGGAGGGGAAACTGTGGTGGTTATGTAAAATAAAACACTAACCAGCACAACAGCTAAGTTAACTTAGCTCATCTCCAGGTATTATTCTCAGGTTCCATAGGCAGTCTGCTCCTATGATTAATCAAGATCACAGGACCAGTCATGTTCTCCAAACCAATACAGGATACCCAGTTCGAGGGCACCCAGTGAGTTGGTTCAAGACCTTTGTTCTAGTTGCCTCCCAGGCCAGCTCTGCCATCTACCCTGCCAAATTCCTGTATGTAGATCTCCATATTAGAGTCTTCACAAACTGAAGACAGCTATTGCCAAGGAAAGGCCACATGACATTTCCAAGGCAGATCTTTGGTTAGCCCAGCAGGACAAAAGGATGTGACAGAATAAATTACAAACAATGGTAGATCATATATGACAGTACAGCTCAGACCCACAACCTCTGCAGCAGCAATTCCAGAAGCTGAAACATTGCCTCCATGGTAACTGATGTCAAATTGATCATAACTTGATCAATAGCTACAGATTTTCTAATATTCTCTCTCAACCAGAAAAGGCCATTCCTAAGAAGGACACGAACTATACCAATCACATAGGATGTTTTACTATGTCATGATACCAGTTTTCCCAGTGTACTTGCTGTCTTCTCTGTTTTTACTGTATATTTTGCTCATTTCCTTTCCCATCAAATGCAAGTGATGGGCTGCAGACTGCCTTGCACTGCCTCTGCTCTTTTTCATTGGTGGACTTTCATTTTTTTTTCGATTTTCTAATGATCCACATAATCCAATGTGGACTACCAGTAGGTGGTCTGAACTCTTTTGAGGTCTTTGTTTATTTATTCTAGGTTTTAATACCAAATTTTACTATCAGCTTAATCTGTTTGCCATCCTTGATGGAATTCTTTCTTTTCCTCCTTTGCTCCCTCTTATGTTTCATTTCGTTGTACTGTCTAAAAGAGTGTCCAAAGGAGGAAAATCACGGGTTTTTGAACCGGAAGACCCTGTATGTCCCCTGTCTGAGCTGGCCTCATGGTTTGATGATTCTTCACCAGCCGGTCATTCACGTGGATCACCAAGGAGTCACCAGTAAAACCATAGGAGTTTTCTGTTTCCATTTCCATTTTCTATGTTCAGTGTTTGGTTTCTGATCCACTGAGTGTCCGTTCTAGTACGCTAAAGGCAAAGTGTAATATCAGAGGTCACTGCCTCTCCTGGGCCATTTTACTGCCATTGTCAGCTATTGTGTCAACAACCTCTCCTCTTTTAGGAACAGTGACTGCTGCCCATGGGTCTTCTCACTGCAGTCTTGATCTTGGGTCTTTCTTTCTGAATGACACAGTAACACTGAGGATAAATATGGGCTCTCGGGGTTTATGACACAGAGAATTTAACTTGGATAACCATCAAAGAGTACTTAGGGAAGAAAGTGGGAAAGATTTCTCAAGTTCAATGGTGTCCATTTTGGACTGGGTACTCATAGGCCTCCAAAACCTTCTGAATCAAAAATATCTCCATTAAAAGAGTTTGGGGCAAAGACAATAACAAACTTGTCTGGATTCTTTAATAAGGTTTCCATCCTTGTCATCTCTCTTCCTCCAGATCTACCTCCCCTATCACACTGACGGTCTCTCTCATTCAGCATCTCCAGCAACTCTCCCTTTTCTTTGCCCTGACTTCCTACCATTTATCAACAGCTCTCCCAGGGACATTTAATGTCTGTCTGCTTCTGAAGACTCCCTGACCCCATGAGCCAGATAGGAAACTGTGGAGTTTACTCTTTGGACTTGAACTAAATTAAAAACTAAATTCTCCTAAGAACAGACAATATTCATAGGAGGGTTTTCTTAGTCCAGGGTGGTCTTGTACTTGACATGCCTAATTAATCACTAATGCATTTCCTGCCTCTAATTCCTAAGTGCAGAGACTACAAGCATGCACTACTACATCACTGGAAGAGTTTACGTTTCTTTTTCATTTTGTTTTGTTTTGTTTTTTTGAGACAGGGTTTCCCTGTGTAGCTTTGGAGCCTGTCCTGGAACTCGTTCTTGTAGACCAGGCCAGCCTCGAACTCACAGATATCCGCCTGCCTCTGCCTCCCAACTGCTGGGGTTAAAGGCGTGTGCCACCCTGCCCACTCATGAGATTTTTAAAAGAGAAAAGCCGAGCTGGGTGTTGGTGGCACACACCTTTAATCTCAGCACTCAGGAGGCAGAGGCAGGTGAATCTCTGTGAGTTTGAGACCAATCTGCTCCACAGAGTGAGTTCCAGGACAGCCTCCAAAGCAATACAGAGAAACCCTGTCTCAGACAGAGAGAGAGAGAGAGAGAGAGAGAGAGAGAGAGAGAGA